ACTATTGACACTTTGAATGAAAAATACGCGAAATTTAATGCAAAAAATCAGTATTTATTGAATTTAATTCATAATAATTGATAACTTATTAAAGATTTACACAATTTTTGTCATAAAGTCTTCACTGAAACATACGTTTGAAGAGTTCTTTCGCTTGCGACCACTTCTTCGCCCATTTCGAGTCTCTTCCGGTCAACTTCTTCATCACCGGCGACATGACTGCCCGCAGGCGTCGCGAGTGGACGACCGGCGCGCGAATCTCGACCAAAAGGCGTCCGTTTTCGGGATCCCAAACGAGGACTCGAGTCGACGACTGGAGCGCCGCCGGCGAGAGCGCGATGTCCGCCATCTGTCGGGCGCTGTCTCTCACGGCCTGCCACTCGATGTGCGACGCGTTGTCTTTGAGGAGTTCCGCGAAGAGGCGGCGGAAGTGTTGATAGAATTGTCGCAAGTCTTCGTTCGACGAAATGATGGCCTCAAAGGAGTCGCGAATCCATTGCTTGTAGTCTTCGGCGTAGGATTGGAGCCAAAGGGGAGCGGAGGGCAGGGCGCGGATCAGACGACCACTCGTTGTCATGACGACGCGGTGAGTGGTGTGAAGGGTCTCGAGAGCGGTCGAGTAGAAGAGGTCGAGCAGAGACTCGAGTCCGTAGTTCTCGAACGCATACAAAGCCTTATAACAGAGCTCTGAACGCTTGCATTGCTTTCGCGCGGATCTTATGGCCGAGCGGTAGGCGTTTCCCACCCATTGGGGAACGGCGTTGTCGTACCACTGGAAGGCGCGACGGAAGGCGCGGGCGATGGTCTCGACGGCGTCTGCGGCGTACTGTTGGGTGCGCTCGAGAGCGCCGATGGTTTTGGGGCCGAAGTTTCGCCACATTTCCTGCAAAACGTCTTGCATTTCGTCGGAAACGAGAGAAGCGATCGGTTCGAAGACATCGTCCGACAATTGGCGCGAAATTAGTCCCGATTTGTGACGCAATTCGTCGAGAAGTTCGCCGGAAATGAAGTCAAAGTCTTCGGAAGAGACGTATTGTCCGTTGCGGCGCTGCGAGAGCTTCTGGACGAGGGATTTGAGGAGTTCGGGCGACCAATGGACGTCCAGTTTGATGGCCTTCTGGCCTCTGGTCTCCACTTGAAGGTCGACTCCAATGGACTTGTCTTTCAAGTTGTTGTCCACTGACTGCAAGTCAACGGCAATCGAGTTCTCCGATTGGTCGGCGTTTACGCAGAAGTGGTAGCGGCGCTCCAATCGCTGCTCCTTTCGGGTCTCCATTTTGACGCACTTCCCGCTCAACGACAGCCTCACATCCCGTTCCTCTGCACTCTTCTCGTCGATGACCTTGAAGTCGGTGCTCACCTCTTGCGCCGATTTCCCGAACTGTCCGCTGACTCGATATCCGCGCTTTTCGTCCCGAAAAACGCCTTCGAAGCGGTTTTCGTCCAAAAGGCGCGCGAAATAAAAGCCTTTCCTTTCGTTTCCTCTGCGGTCGATGTTCTTTACGGACAGACCCGCCGACTGCGGCGACACGTGACTTTCGAGCGAAAAGTCCATTAGAGAGCGATCGCGAGTCGAGACGGCGATCGCGAGCGTCGTGTTGAGCGCCTCTCGAGCCCACACTCGACGTGCGATCGGGCGCTGCTCGAGCGTCGACTCGACGGTGAGCGCGTGGTTGGGGTCTCGCGCCAAGTCGAGCACTATCTTTGCCGTGAAGGGCGTGGCCTTCAAGTCATTGGTCAACGAGTACTGGATTTGAATGGATTTCGGCGACCGTTTGAAGCGATTGGACGACAGCTGGAGATCCGCGCGCACCGATTGCGACGCCTTCTGGAGCTCGAGGGCCGACTCGAACAGGGGTTGGGGGTCGGCATCCGTCACGAACTGAGTTCGCGCGCGAATCGACTGCTGTTTGCGCGCGAAATCAGTCTTCAAGTGAAGCCAACGATTGGACGGAAAGAAGACTTTAAGCGACGAATCAAAAGCGGCGTTTCGCGAGTCGCGTGACGTCACCACCGAATCGAAGCCAATGGAGTGCGAGTTAATGGAGACGAGGAACTGATTGCGGACTCGCGAGTGGATGTCTTGACCGGTGGTCAGCGAGAGCAGAGAGCTCTTCGGCGCCTGCGTGTCGTCCAACTTCTCCATGAGGGAAGTCTTGAGCTCGAGATTGGTTCCCATTTTGGTGATGGAAAGCCACGCCTTCTCGGGAATGGAAGAGTAGTCGCGGTATTTGACGTCACTCTTGATGTCGACGCAATTGACGTCATTCTGAGCACACATTTTGACGAATAGTTTCCTTTCGTTTCGTCCGATCTTTTGTGACGTCAGAGTCGCGTGAATTCCCGTCCATTGGGAGGCCTTCGCCGACAACGCGTACGACAGAGTGTCCGACGCGAGCGACGACTGGAGCGACAGAGTCGCCAATTCCGCGCCATTTCGGACCACGTGGGCGGCGCCCGACCAGACGCCGGAGCGCTGCTGAGCCGCGAATTTGGCGGAAACGACGGGTTTGTCGTCGTATTTGACGGATGACTCGAAGTCCACTTCCTGTCCATTGATTTTCACCTTTTGTTTGGTTTCCATTTTCTTAACGTACGGACACTCGAAACGCGCCGACACTTCGACGCCGTCTCTCACGGATTGTCCGCTCTTTTTGGCCGAGAAGTCGACTTTCCGGATGGAGTCGGCGTCCACTGAGAGCAGGAGTTCTTGGCCCGCGACTATCGAAGCGATGGCGCGAATCGAAGGGATTCTCTGGACATTCGACTTGAGGTCGAAATCGGCCGAAGAGTCGCCGATCTTCGCGCGCGCCTCCAATTGCTTGCCGTTGCGGTTCATCGCCGACGCCGTCACCTCTTTGTCGCGCGCACTGAACACCAGATTCACGGATTGGTCGCCGATTTGCGGCGTTTCCACGGAGAAGGACGCCTTCACCTTCTGGCCATCGCTGGAGTCCCGCTTCACGTGCGCAGACGCAGAGAACGTCTGTCCCACCGTTTGGCGCAAAGCCTTCACTTCGGCGAACACTTCGGCGTTCCTTCGCTTCCAATCGCTGTGTCTTTCATTCAACGAGACCTTCACCTCGAGGTCGGGATTCTTGGGCGCCGTGGTCTCCAACGACACGCTAATCACGTGATCGCCAGTCGCGGACTCCTTTCCCGCCTTTGCGTTCACTTTCGCCGCGAATTTCAATTGTTTTCCTTCGCTGTAAATGGCGTTGCATTGCATCTCGTTTCCGGTGATCACGTGTTTCATATGCACTGACATCGAGTCACGTGACGGGTTGTACTTCGGCTCGTAGGCGAGCGTCCATTCGTGGGGTCCGGCGATCAGCGCGTTCTCCGCCATCGACGACTCCAAGCGCAGAGTGTTTCCCGCGTAGGCGGCGCTCACATCGAGTCACGTGACGGGTTGTACTTCGGCTCGTAGGCGAGCGTCCATTCGTGGGGTCCGGCGATCAGCGCGTTCTCCGCCATCGACGACTCCAAGCGCAGAGTGTTTCCCGCGTAGGCGGCGCTCACCGAAGACACCAACGTCTTCTCAGTCCACGACTGGCCTTCGCGACGGGCGGCGCTCACGTCGAGCACGAGTTTCTGGTTCGGGTCTTTATCGGCGTCCCACTGGAGCTCCGCGTGGAAGCCGTTCTGGTCTTTGGCCGCCACCGACGCCAACACGTGACGTCCTACCAGTTTGCTCCTGTAGTCAACGAGCGCCGACCTCTTCGTCAGGTCGAGCGCCGTCTTGACTGCGAAGCGCGGGATCTCGACGTCGAAGCGATGGTTGCGGTCTTTGGCGTCGATTTTCGCCAAAAGATTGGCCAAAATCTGCGAATTATAGTCCGTTTTGGACGCGAAGTCCATTTGACGCGCGTTTGGGTTGACTTTGAGTTCCGACTTGTGATCAATTGATTGCGTTTTGAACGCGATTTTCGCCCACTTTTGCGACGGATTTGCCGAAAATTGGGAGTCAATAAGCGGACGAAGTCCATTTGACGCGCGTTTGGGTTGACTTTGAGTTCCGACTTGTGATCAATTGATTGCGTTTTGAACGCGATTTTCGCCCACTTTTGCGACGGATTTGCCGCCAATTGGGAGTCAATAAGCGGCGACTGAATCGTCAAATGCGACGGATTTTCGTTGTAATTGATCTCCGAGTCGACGGACAGCACATTGCGGCCCGACTTCTGGGTTTTGGACACGATTTTCACGCCTTTCCCAGTCTTCTGAGCCGTGATTTCCGTCTTGTGTTCGAAGGGAATGGAAATGGCGTTCATTTCGATCTTCGCTCTCGAGTTCGGCTCGTATTCCAATTGAGCGCTCGTTTTGGGCGTCACGAGAGAAAAGTGCGACTTTTGACCTGAAATTCGGGCCAAGAATTAGACCGGAAGTCGTGTTAGCATTCGTTTCGAGACTTACCGGAAATGGGAGTCAAATAGGAGTCGATTTTGGCGATCGATCGGCCGTTTTGTCCGTCAGTTCGCGACTTAATGTTCACAGACTTGTCGTCCACTTGAATGTCAGTCACGTGAGAGTACTTCGGGTGTTTGGCCTCCACTTGAAGGAAGCGCTGTCTGTCGGCGAACGGCTGAACCTTCACTTTGGCGCCCATTTGCGCGAACTTCACGTCCAGAGTGGACGGAATGGCGGCGTCGAAGTGGTTGTAGCGGCCATTGAGCGCCAAAAGCGGTTCCTTTTGGCCGCCATTTGCCAAACGCTCGGTTCTCGAGGCGATTGAGTACTGCTGTTGTCGGGGATTGGCCTCGACTTCGGTCACGTGGCTGTAGGGATAGTAGGACTGCGGCTGACCCGCGAACGCGACCTTCCATTTGGGAGACGCGGGCGAGCGGTCGTAGTGCGCAGACGCGTCGAAGGGCTGCGACTTGAAGGTCACGTATGACTCTCTCAACACGTGTTTTGCGGCCAAATTGTAGAACCGTTTCGAAGGGTCCTTGAGTTGAGTCTTGGACTCGAAGGACAGCTCAGAGTTCGGCCACTCGGCGGTCATCACGTGATCGATGTGATGGCAGTTGTAGTCGAGGCGCGCGGCGCGAGACGGAGTGGCCATCAAAGAGGAACGGTAGTCGGGAGTCACGAAACGGAGCGTGGATTCGGTGTTGGGGTCGCGCGAGAGGCGGGACGAGAGGTCGAAGACGTTCTGTCCGTTTCGCCGACTCTTGGATTCGACCAAAACTGCGGAGGAATGGAAAGAATGAGAAGAATGAAAGACATTACGAGAAAGAACTCCTACTTTGGCTCTGTTTGCGATTCCACGTGACTTTGGAGTTGTGGTCGAAAGCGTCGGCTTTTGCGCCGAAGCGGACGAACGGCTCAATAGTGTTGTCTTCGGCGGACATCCAGTGCTTTCCCTCGGCTTCGAAGGCGTACTTCTGGCCGAACGCGGAGTTCATTGAATGTAAACCATTGACGCGATTGTAGTGATAGTCAAGGCTTTGGATGGGAAGAGACTTGAGGTCAGTTTTCGACACAATTTTCACCACTTTTGGCGTCATTTCCGCTTCCGAGCGGTGTTTCAGGTCATCGACGACGAGCTCGAGATCCGCCGAACGCGCGATGGGGTCGGCGCTCATCACGAGAGAGGACTTGTGTTTCGGGAAATCCAGCGAAAGGAAGGACTTCTTCTGCGTAGTCGCGAACTGCGAGTCCAAAGACATCAAAGGCTTTCCCTTGTATTCGGTCTTCGACTTGATTTCGATCGCAGTTTTCGGCGCGAAATTCAAAACCGAATTGTGTTTCCAGTCGTCTCGCGCGCTCTTGATGTCCAAAAGCGCGGACTTCTTGTCCGAAGACAAGAGATCCAAATCGAAGCGCCCGTCGATGGGCTCCGAGACGATCATCACGTGGGAGGGGACGGTGCGCGAGAGGTGCGACTGGAACTGTGGGTGGGATTAGGATTAGCGACGGATTAGTGACTTTTTTAACTCTATCTTACGTTCAGAAGGTTTCTGTTGTCTCTCTTGGTGTCGGACTTCACGAGAAGCGAGAGTTTGGGCACAAACTCGATGTCAGTCTTGTGTTGGAAGCGATTAATGGGCGAAGAGATGTCTATTGCCATCAAAGCGGGCGCTGAGAAGGCATTCGCCGCCACTTTCGCCACAATCGCCGGCGTCTCGAAGGCGAGGCGCGACTGGCGGTCACGTGACAGCTGAGAGTCCCACTCATAAACTTGGGAACCGTCGGACAGAACGCGAGACTTGAGGTCGAGATCGCGGCGCGAGAGACGCAGCAAACCCGAGTGTCTTAGCTCTCGGCCGAAAGCCTTGAGTTTGGCGTCCATTTCGTGGTGGAACTGATCGCCGGAAGACTTGATTTTGTACTCGTAGTCGAGATCCGCTTTCTGGCCGTTTTGCCACTGAACGGACGTCTGGCCCGCGAACTCGCCTTTCGCCG